CGTAATGGACAAACTCATACGAAAACCACTGAGGATGGTTGACCTATTTTAGGTTGTTGATCAAAGCTTTTGTTTGACAACCATAACCTATTATAGAAGAGGTTGAAGGAAATCCACCAAGTATTTTTGACCCATCCGAGACTATATATCAAAGTTTTTGTTTGACGACTGTAGCCTGTAATGGAAGAGGTCAAATTGAGTCCCCTTGGGATCGATTAAGCTTAAATGAGGTGTCAAAGATGCTTTGCATTCTCGAGACTAAGGTGTAGATCACAATAGATCTTATGTTTTCTTGGAAATATTGTTGCAGTCAAACTCAAGAATAGTGTTTGAGAACTAGTTAGTTGCTGCTTTTGAATCTTTTGTCCCCCAACAGGGGTGTTTTTCATGAGAGCTTGTAAGAAAACTCATGTATCGGGCCATGAAGGGACCAGCTTCTTGATCAAGATGGAGAAAAGCTCTAGTACGATGAGGGGGCACTGAGGAAGCATTATTTGTGGTGAAGATTACCCCCCATTCTAAGAGCAATTCTCGTAGACTTGTAATTTGAATGAAATATGGGATGACTTCCCCACCATAGTAGTGTCCGAGACATTAACATGAACAACCTTTTGAGACTGCGGTGAATGTTGCACCCTAACCTAGAAGAATTTGTGAAATATTTTGTGTTTGAAAAAGGATACGAGAAGACAAATCCACTACAATCATGCTCGGAATGTTTACATGAACGACCTTTTGAGACTACAGTGAAGGTTGCCCCCACATCGAAGAATGATCTGGGGATGATCTTCAAAATACAAAGAAGATTTGTTAGTTGGATGATACACATCATTGGGAAATGAAGTAGGGATTCAATATCTCAAAGCTAATGAATGTGTCGATTGGTGCTTCGTTTCCTACATACGATGCCAAAATGATGTGTGCTAGAAAATTCAGGCAATAAAATAATGGATTATCTTCTTAGCGTTGCACTAGAATTCAACACACACTTAAGTGAAAGAAAATAACCAGTAATGACACCAGAAATTTTTACGTGGAAAAAACTATAAATTGAAAAAATTACGGGATTCGACCCAATTGTAAAAATCCACTATAGATTGTTGATTACATAAACCCCTTGCCCTACATATGAAAATGGTTGTTAGATTTTCCAAGTTACAACGTTGACTGAAAACATCTGGTTGGTGGTACTAGACGATTGGTGGTCATCAATGGTGGTTGGTGGTTGTCAACGGCGGTCGACAGTGGCCTAAGGTGATCATCGGGTGTAGATGACAGTCGTCTGTGGTCGACGGCTGCCAACGACGATCGATGATGGTATAAATGGTCCTGGTCTTCAGCTCCTTCTCAAAACCTCAAGTTCTCTCTCAAGATTAAATCACCTCCAAACATGTGAGTGGTGGGGATCTATTTATAATATTATAGATGTAATTAATGCAAAAATATGATCCATTTTGATCGGATGGTCTGGATAGCTTCCTTCGATCAGATAACACTTGATGGATATTTGAGTGTTTTAACGATGTCAGAATTGAGCAATCTAGAGCTCGTTGGATTTATCTTTTTGAGACGCTTGATTCTACTATAAACTCATCAGATTTAACATTTGTTTTACCTTTCAAATATGTTTAAAAATCTTCTAAGAGAGCGGTTTAATTACTTGATCTGGACTTGGATTTGACTAGTTTTTATATCATTAGGTCCGCCCCATCTAGTTGGTTAGTTTTACTATATGTTTGCTGAATTCAGACTCTAGATAAAACTCACTTGAAGTTTGAAAATTTCTTGCTCAAAATATTACCTTGAGATTCGTGTCATGCCTTGAGATTCATGTCGGATGATGAAAATTTGTTGGTGGCGAACCAAAGATAAATAAGAAATATATATGATTTTTTTTGGGCGGTTACAGTAGGATTGTCAAAAAAACACATCGTTCGTTGTTGAATCACAATTTGTTCATCAATCACAACCTAAGGGTTGTAACATAAAAAAAATGATAGGGTCAGAAAGAGAAAACAAACAACAAAACATCGTGTCAAGATAGAGAGTCAGAAAGAGAAAACAAACAACAAAACATCGTGTCTATTAGCTCTTTCTCATAAAATGATATCTTTATTTATATGAGAGAGAGAGAGAGTACAATATGTAATATTAAATTTTATCTCTTCTTTAATGGGGTTGTTACAAGATATTTTAGTTACTTTGCATGTACAAACTTATTACTAGTTTGCCCTATGATTTGGTTGGTTGGACTATTATGACATCAGCTCGGTAGTGTCAGTTTGGTCGACTTGATTGAGTCAACACAATCAGTTGGCTAGATTCGATTAGCTTTGGGTCAGCAAAATTGGCTCAGTCAGCTAGGCTTTGTTGATCAGTTAGTTCGGTCTGTCTGTTGACCCTCAATCCCTAGATGAAGACTTATAGTAGATAGAACGAGACAATGTTATCGAACAAATTTTCATTAGTTGGCACGAATCTCAAAGCATGACATTGATCTCGAGATAATATTTTGAGTAAAGGATGTTCAAAACTTAATAAAAACTCATTTTTGAGCTCTGAGTTGAGCAACTTATAGTCAAACTGGCCGACTCAATGAGACAATCCAATCTGAGTCAAATCAAACCAAGATTAAGTCATTAAACCATTCTTGAAAGATTTCTTGATCTATTTAGAAGGTCAAATAAATATCGACACTAGTAAGCCTATACTCAAATCGAGTGTCTCGATAAGATGAACCCAACGAGCTCGAGATCATGCAATTCTAACATCATTAAGGCATCCAAATGTCCATTAAACACCGTCTAATTGAGGGAAGCTCTTCGGAATTCTAATTAAAATGGTCTTTATTTATGCATTCATTGCACCCAGAACACTACAAATTGAGCCCTCCCTCTCATGAGGGGGAAATGAAGCCTAGAGATAGACCCGAGGCCTTGAGGAGGAGCTGCAGCTCAGCATCATCGCCAACCGACGTCAATCACTGTCGACCGCCGTTTACCACCGTCGACAACCGTTAACCATCGCAGATCGCTGTTGACCATCACTGACCGCCGCAGACCTCCATCGACCACCGCCGACCGTCGTAGACCACCACCACCCAAAATCCATCAGTCAATGTTATAACTTGAAAAATCTAGTAACAATTTCTCGTATGTGGGATAAGAGCTCATCACTACGGTCCATGTGTCAACACAGCCCAAGTGGTCAACAGTTCATGCAGCTCCTGACTCTGCCCCCTATGACATACGGACGTCACTAATACTCGCCCTGACAACCTACGTGGTTCACAGCTCATGCAACTCCCGAATCAGGCCCTCGCGACTTACGAACGTCATTCACACTTGCCTCTACGACCTACATGGTTCAGAGCTAATGTATTTCTTGACTCCAGCCCTTACGGAGGACGTCATTCATTCTCGTCTCAACGACTTATATGGTTCACAGCTCGTGCAGCTTCTAACTCCGACCCCCACGACCTACGGACGTCATTCATACTCGTCCTTATAACCTACGTACTTCACAACTTGTGCAGCTCCCGACTCCGGCCCTTGTGGCCTATAGACGTCATTCATATTCGCCACTACGTCCTATGTGATCCACAACTACAATTGTTTACTATGATTTATCTGGTCAATCAACGATTCTGGAGCAACCATCTACAACACTCACGACGGACTACTGTCTCTACAACAATCAACAATGACCATTGCAACCTGCTATCATCAAGAACTGGAGCTAGATTATAGTTATACAATTTTGTAATTTTATTCCCTAATTTAGGAGAAAAGTAGGTTGTGTGCTCATCATTCATAGTGGATTATTTCAACTGGGCTAAACCCCATGATTTTTCTTCATTTCAAGGGTTTTCTACTTAAAAAGTCGAGGTGTCCCCTTTTGCCAACTTCTCTTTTTTTATCTGTGTGTGGTGAGTTCTAGTGCAATGCTAAAACGATAATTCATTACTCTATTGCTACGAATTTTCTAGCACGCATCAATAACTATATATATATATATTCTAAAAATCGAACAAAGTTTTTTTAACAACTGTATAGATAGGGCAATAATTGATCCGAGCCGAACCGAGTATATCATAGTTTAGACTTGACATAATGCATTTATAAATTGTTCATGTTCAGGAGCTTTCATATATTATTCAAACTTGAGTTGCTAAAAATTTTTAATGTTTGAAGTTGATTTACTTATCACAAGTGAACGAGTATTTAAACGAGCTAAAAATAAAAAGAGTATCTAGATTTTCATATAAAAAATCTAAATTCTACAACTATAATAAATAAACAATTGAATAAATCATATAAATTATATATGATATAAACAAATAAATGTTGTAATCTAGTGTTTATAATAAATACATTCTCACAAAAATGAATTCTAATATAGAGAAAAAAACATTGAAACTGAAACAAAAGAAAATTTAAATGGACCAGTATTACAAAGTAGCTCATAACATGAAATTATTCATCAATTTTTGAAATAATTGAGAAAAATCAAAGACATTTTGATCAAACATAATAAGAAAAAAATGAACAAAAATAATGTTCACTTTTAGAATTCTATCATATTAATGTTGAAATAGTTAATAATTAATAATAAAACAAATATATAGTTAAGAATTAATCTAAAAATATTATTGATATAATAAAATATTATTATTAAATCTATAATTAAATAAATTCTAACAAATCAATTTTTTTTTAATAATATATCATATATGATACGAGTTTTATTTGAGCTTCATATCAAGTATTTAATAAGTTATTTGTTGAACAACAAACAAATTTTTCCATTTATATTTAGTTCATTTAAGATTCGAATTTTAATAAATTATTCAAACTTTTTTATTTACTAACTTAAAAGAACATAATTAAGTCTTAATGAAGCCCGGTTCAAATAGTTTATGGAATGTATTGGTTCATTGAAAACCTATCCGTTGATTGAATATAGAGAAGCAAATACATTATTTGGGTGGTATGACGTAAATGCCCCAGGAAGATTTTTTTGCGTGCCGCTGCCACGTGCCACTGATTTCAGCGGAAGTTCTCGCCGAGGAAGGAATTGGAGGAAACCACGCAAAAATGACGACGCTGAGATCTCTCAATCTTCTATTAGGGTTTAGCGCATCGCCATTTCGGCGAAAGCGGCCTCGTAGCTTTATTTCGTTACCCAAGATTCTTCCTCTTTTTGAATGGAGCGTCACCTCCTCTCCCCAATCTCGGCAGCCTTCCGTTTTCCTGCTATCTCGTTACACTGTTCACGTTAAGGCTTTGCAGGTGTCTTCCAGTGGCTCGGAATGGTTACCCGCTGGGGAGGCAGCG